GCCAACTTTATGCAAATAAACTTGATCATTTATAGAAAATAGACAAATTCCCTGAAAGACACAAAGTACCAAAGCTCACTCAAGAAAGAATAGATAACTCAAGTATACCTATATGAATTAAAGAAATTGACTTTATCATTAAAAATCTTCCCATAAAGAAAACTACAGGTCAAGTTGGCTTCCTTGGTGAATTCAATGAAGAGAGATTCAGTTTAAGGGAGAAATGAGGCCAGTACTATAGAAGCTTTCAGAAAGTAGAAGAGGAGTAAAACACTCCCTAACTAATTTTATGAGACCAGTATCTCTTTTTTTTGTATTAATTGATTAATTAATTAATTAATTAATTAATTTTTGGCTGTGTTGGGTCTTCATTGCTGTGCATGGGCTTTCTCTAGTCGCGGTGAGTGGGGGCTACTCTTTGTTGCGGTGTGCGGGCTTCTTATTGCGGTAGCTTCTCTTGCTGTGGAGCACAGGCTCTAGGCACGTGGGCTCCAGTAGCTGCGGCACTTGGGCTCTAGAGCACAGGATCAGTAGTTGTGGTGCACGGGCTTAGTTGCTCTGCGGCATGTGGGATTTTCCCAGACCAGGACTCGAACCCGTGTCCCCTGCATTGGCAGGAGGATTCTTAACCACTGCGCCACCAGGGAAGTCCCAGAGACCAGTATCTCTTATGAATACAGATGCAGATATCCTCAACAAAATACCAGCAAACTGAATCTAACAGCATAGAGAAAGAATTATATACCATCAAGCGAGATTCTTTTCAGAAATGCAAGGTTGATTTAACGTATGGAAATCAATGTAATACAACATATAAATAGAATAAAGGACAAAAACCACATGATAATGATAATCTCAGTAGATGCAGAGAACTCATTTGGCAAAGTCCAACAATCCCCATGATAACAAAAACACACAACAAACTAGAAATAGAAGTAAAGAAAAATTAAAAAAAAAAAAAGAAGTTAATATCCTCAACCTGATAGAAGGCATCCATGAAAACCCATGTCTAACAACATATCTAATGGTGAAAGAGTGGATGCTTTCCTCCCAAGATCAGATTAGGCAGGAAAAAGAAATAAAAGGCATCCAGATTGAAAAGGGAGGGACTTCCCTGGTGGCACAGTGGTTAAGAATCTGCCTGCCAGTGCAGGGGACATGAGTTTGAACCCTGGTCCGGGAAGATCCCACATGCTGTGGAGCAACTAAGCCCGTGGGCCACAACTTAGAGCCTGCAAGCCACAACACTGAGCCCACGTGCCACAACCACTGAAGCCCTCTGACCCTGCACGCCTAGAGCCCGTGCTCCACAGCAAGAGAAGCCACCACAATGAGAAGCACACTCACCACAATGAAGAGTAGCCCCTGCTCGCCGCAACTAGAGAAAGCCAGCGTGCAGCAAGAGAGACCCAACACAGCCAAAAAATAAATTTTTTTTAAAGAAAGAAGTAAAACTATATTTTCAGATGACATGATCTTGTATATAGAAAATTCTAAGGAATTCACACAAAAAATACTATAAATAATAAACGATTTCAGCAAGGTTGTAGGATACAAGGTCAATATACAAAAATCACTTTTATTTGTATACACTAGCAATGAGCAATCTGAAAATGAAATTAAAATTGTAATTCCACTTCTAATAGCATCAAAAAGATTAAAATGCATTGGGATAATAAAAAGAAGTTCAAACCTTATACTCTGAAAACTACAAATCACTGTTGAAAGAAATGAAAGAAAACCTACATAAATGGAAAGGCGTCCTACACTCATGGAACAAAAGACTTAATTTGTTAAGATGACAATACTCCCCAAATTGATCTACAAATTCAACCCAATCCCCATTAAAATCCTAGCTGCCTTTTTTGCAGAAATTGATAAGCTGATTCACAAATTAATATGGAAATGCAAGGGACCGAAACAATCTTGAAAAAGAACAAAGTTGAGGGACTCACACTTCCCAATCTCTTAACTTTCTATTGTACAAAGCTACAGTAATTAAGACAGTGCACACAATTAGTATTCCTGAAAAAGAAAATGGAAAAAAACAGACTAGATAAGAAAATGCAGTTATATAATCAAAGAGAAATTCTTCAACAAAGTAAGGCTTTATTCAGCACTTGCTACACACTGTGCTAAGTGTTCTATCCATTTATTATTCCATTTAGTTCATAGGATTTCACTAAGTGAAAAATTCTATTACCATCTCCATTTTACCAATGAGAAAACTTTAGAGACTGTGACTTGCCCATAGTAGTGGAGCTGGGCTTTGAACCCAGAATGGCAGCCCGAGTCCAGTGCCTTACTTGATACTACAGATCTGAATTTTTAGATTGAGAGTTCATACTGTGTTCCAAGAATAGCTGACATAGAATGATGAACGGCAAGACAACACCTGGTAGATCTTCTAGACTTCAGGGAGAAAAGGACTGCTCTTTGCAGATTGTCTGCGGGGAGACCAATAAGGCTGGCTTCCGAGTTGTCCACAGCAACTGTCGGTGCTGGAAGACTGGAGTATTGTCTGCCATGTTCTGAGGGAGAGAAAGTGGGAAATCTGAGAATGTCATACTCAGGTTTAGAGGAACAGAGACAAGAGACAGACATTCTTACACGTGTAAGAATTCAGGGCCTGTAGCATCCACGAGCCCTTTTTGGCAATATTCCACCAAGCAAGAATCAATTTAAAATAAAGAATTAAAGAAACGATGAATGCATTTGATTGATTGATTGAGGTATAGTTGATGTACAATATTATATGTTTTAGGGGTACAGCATAGTGATTCACAATTTATAAAGGTTATATCCCATTTATAGTTATTATAAAATATTGGCTGTATTCCCTGTGTTGTACTATATATCCTTGTAGCATATTTATTTTACGCATACTAGTTTGTACCTCTTAATCCTCTACCCCTATCTTGCCCCTCAAATGCATTTTGATATAGAACTGATGCAAAACAATTATGGGGTAGAACATAATTGTTAGGTACCTTGGCAATAAAAAACAGTACTATAACAAAAATCAGAGGCTGAGGAGAAGGCAAAGGAGAAGGTAGTATGAATATGTCAGTTTCCTCATTTTTGTTCTGGGTCAACAGATACTGTATAGTGTTGAAATGTGTAGATAAAAGAATGACCTACTTTCTGTCCTTTCTCTGGCTCTTTCTTTGTCTCCCTGTCTCTGTCTTTCTGTCTATATACACATACATATAACACACATGCATACATGTAATAAATATAACATATTTTTAACGTTAGAGAGACATAAATGTATGAACTATGTGTAAAAAAACCACATTTTTCTGAGGTTGAGTGATTACTTTGGTCACACTTTAGTTTCTCCTGTTAAATTTAAAATTAAAACCAGTATGTATAACAATCTCAATGTTTGTAAAATGATTTTTATCTTTCTCTCCTCTTGATACATACGTACACGGAGATAGCTGGGTTATCGTTCAATCAATGTTCACTGGCTATTTCTATGTGGTAGAATTTTGAGATGATTTTTAATTTTCTTTTTGTACTGTACTACATTGTTTTCACTTTAAAATAACCATGGCATTTTAAAAAATTAAAAACTATTATCAAAAGCAAATGGAGGATAATTTTTTTAAAGTTTCAGCATTGGACCCCCAAGTGGAAATGTCAAGGAAGTAGTTGGATATATGAGTCTGGGAAAGTCTGGACTAGAGATTATAAATTTGGGATTAGGCAGCATGTAGCTGATTTTTGAGGAGCGGATGAGATCATCTTGAGAGACACTTAACAGAGAAGGACAAGGGCCCAGAACCGCACTCGTGCATCTCCAGCACTTCGAGGATGGGTGAGGGTGAAGCCAAAAATGACAGTTCTCAGAGGCAGGAGGAACACCCACCTACCTCTTAGCACTTGCAGAGCCAAGGGCTAAGTCAAGAAGGAGCCAGGCAGTTTTGATAAGATGCTGGGATGTAGTTCAAAGGCAAGGGTTGCCCACCTGGCTTTCGTTCCACAATGTATTGTTCGTTGTGTGTCTTCTACTTTTTTTTTCCCTCCCTAAAGCTCATAAGGTAGAGAACCAGCAATTGCTTCAACTCCATTTGGAGAATAATTTCAAGACCTCTGAAATATTTGGGGTTTGGCGAACAGCTGGATCTTTGGAGAGCTGCTGACTCAGCAGATGTTGGCAGCATGTTTGGAGAGCACTCCTGTGGTTTTAAAATGGGCCACAGTAGCTTCTGGTTGATAAATGCTTTATTTGACTTGTGAGTTTAAGGAGAGCAGCCTCTGTAACCGTAGCTAAGTGTTTACACTTCACTGTATCCCCCTCAACTTGCAAGCCTTTCTCTTGACTAGTTGGCAGTCTTTCTGGCAGGGCTAAACACGTCAACCTTTAAAACCTTGTTATCTGCTGACAAGAGTTCAAGTTTGGGGAGAGGGGGAGTCGAGGTTGTTTTTCTCAACTCTCCCCTTGAGAATAGGTGGCTGCTGCCCGTCCACAGGCCTCAGCTCTGTAGCCTGGTGAGTTTGCCCTCTCTGGTTAATTCCAGAGCCAGTGCCGATCATGGCACTTTCCAGCTCTTTCTGAAGCTCATCAGACTCTGAAGGGCTGAAGCCACGGGCTACCCATCAGTGACCTCAGCCACTGGTGAATGATGACTGTTTCTGTCCATTGCTGGACCGGCTTCTGTGTCACTCAGCCTCTCTGTCAACATCCCGGCCTTCGGCAGAGCCACTCCGCCTCTAATGCTTCTCCTGGCACCATGCGTTCATCTGCACCCTTCACTCCTCTGTCCTCGGTGCCAGGAGGGCCACACGTGGCCCGGGGTTAGCAGTTGTTCCCTGTCTCACAGAAGTCATTCTCTCTGCTTTTCTTATCCCTACACTTCTACGTCAGTGCCTTGCACTGATGTTTGCATACAGAAGTTATTTTTTCAAGTCCTGCAGTGCACTTAGAGACAGGGTTTGAAGGAGGTAGGCTTGCGTGTGGATCTGATTAGTTTTCCGATTTTCTCCCCTTCTAGGTAATACTTTCTAATATTCAAAACAGAAGTCCTAAGCCTGGCTCTGCTCCCCACGATCAAGAACTAGGTTTTTTCCTAGAAACAGGACTACAGAGAGCCCATGTCCTCTATTTCAAAAATGGGTAAGCCTTCTTCTCTTTCTAAATCAAGTTCCTAAAGAAGGAAAGTGGAAAGCCTTATAATGCTGTCTTCAGTTTAGTTTTTATCGTAAAGCAATTTTAAATATAAACCACAGTGGGAATTTCTTTTCAAAAAAAGAATGAGCATAGGCTCTTTTGTCTCTTCTCCACCTGGGTCCTCACTTTCCCATGAGATTTGAAGGTGGGGGGAGGGAGGAGGCCCCCCCATGAGTACGAGTCACAGTGTGGAGCACCGGGACCAGGAGGGAATGGGGCCCATGCTCTGTGCTCCCTTGCCTCCCTGGGATGGTACTGCACAGGCCTCCCTGCTTTGTTGTGGCGAAAATGAATGGATCGGAAACCCTGGCCCACAGGATCACCTCCCTTTGAATGGCTGATCCGTTTAGAGAACTGGATTTGCCAAATTTCAGACGGTTTTTATGAAAGCGAGTATGGCTGTAATGCCACACAGGTACATTTTCCCCTTGAGCTGCCCTTGAAAAGAGTTTTAAAAAGGTTTAAGAGCCTGCACGTAAGGGATAGCTCTCTCATGCATTTGATGCTTGTTTTCCTTTTCGTGTTGCTCTTATGAGAAATGCAATGATACTCTTCCAAATCTCTTCAGCTGTCCCTTGTTTTGACATTTTGCTGCAGGATAGATGTGCATGGAGAACAACAGTAGGTATCTGGCTCCCCCGTAGCTCCTCCTAGGCTGTGCGTGGGAGGCCCCTTCCTCAGGAATAGTCCAATAGCGCTTTAAACTGCAGATTGGATAACTGAACAGGGGAGTTGCTCCCTCTGCATTTTCAAGAGCTTCAAACCTTGGGGCGTAGCTCATGGAAGTGGGATTTCACCTGCCCAGAGCCATGTGCTTCTGTTTCCCATTTGTTGAGGAGTAAATGCTTATTTTCCAAATCCTATTAAACTGTGGAGAAGGCCTGCTTTGCTCCAAAGGTTCAGATTGGCAGGGCCCACAAAAGGCTGCAATAAACACCCCAAAGTTTGGAATGGCTTGGTAGCTTTGGCATAGATGCTTTTGAGTTTGATCTCATCTGTCACTGATTGAGATCGTCTGAGTGATGGTGCATGTCCTCTAGGCTGAGTTTTGAGTTCTAGTTTCTTTGCTGTTATAAATAGAGAGAGAAGGGAGGGAACGTAGAATATTTTTTCTGTTTATTCTCCCTTTTCACAATAAATAGTGTCATCACAGAGGAAACTCCAACCCTGGCTTTCCCTCCCTCTAACCTGTGGGTGTGTGTGACTGATATGCAAGTCCAGAGGCCGGAATGAATTTCCCTGGGGCTTTCAGGAGTCCCAAACCAATACCTTCTATTGAAAATGTTTTGTGTGAGATTGATAAGGGCGGGCTGGACAACTTATTTTCCTATTTGAAGCCTATTCGTCGAGGAGAAAGAAGCGGGGCTATGGGGCTCTGTCCTCCTGCCCTGAACCTCTGGATGCCCACCAGAACCCAACTAAAAAATAATGATGAGAGGTTTGCACTAGGTGATGGATTACATGCTGGGAATTGCTTACTGGCTCATGTCTCATTTTATCTTACCCAAGTTCAAGAAGATTCCCATTGACATAGTCAAAGTTAAGGGACTGCTTAATTTTGAAGCCCCTCTTCCTTTCTTCTTGTCCTCTTGGTCTTCTTCCTGGGCTCTAAAGACCAGTAATGCATTGAGCCGGCTGCTCTGGAGGGCTCTTGTCAGCTGCAGTGTTCTAAAGCGGTAACAAGAGGTTACGTGGGTAGGTGGAGATGAGGGCCAGTTTTGAGACCACGAAATACAGACGAAAGGAGAGAGACCAGTGGGAGGTTTTGGACATGCCAAGCGCTGTCAGGGCTGCTGACTTACACGGTGGGTCACTCGGGGCCCAAGAGCCACACCCGGGGGGCATTCATCAGTGGACGCGTACCGCCAGCGTCTCTGCGGAGCAAGTGGGGGCAAATGGAGGTGGGTGCCATCCCTAAGCACCAGCGGCTTCCCATCTTCCAATGTGTTTGCTCTGCTCCTTCGTTGTCTCGCTCCTTTTTTGTGTTTCTACACTTAAAAAAATATATATCTGGAATTGACAGGATTTGACTGATTTTCAGGGTTAGGAAAATGCATCTTAGATGAGTTTGGCAATAAGAGTTACTAATTGGTAAAGCATATCTTTTTCTTTAGAAATACACTTAAATATGTTCAGCCTTTTAGTTGCCAAGCCCGTGAACTTGGGTCTCTTTCAGAAAGAACCTGACGCCAGGACCAGCTCCTGGGCCGCTCTGATCCCTTAGATCCCTCTTCTGTTTACCAAGTACTTTTATTTCATCGTTGATCCTCATGGCGTTATATCTTCCACGCCCACCACCGCCCTTGGGGTTGGCGGTGTAAAACAGCATCGCCTCTATTACACGCACGGTGACCTGGCTGCCAGGCTTCTGACCTCAGTCCTTTCAGTGCTGCCCCCACTGCAGGGGAAATGCTGTGTGCAGGGCCTTGGATCAACCTTCAAACCGTGGCCTTGTCCACCATCCAGCCTCTCTTGTGAGGGAGCGCTTGACCCCGGGATGAGACATTGCCGGGGGATGGTCCCCAGCCTCCACGAATTGGTGTTTTCTCATCACACTTCCTCATGTCTCATCTACAGCCTGTCACAAATCATATGTTTCTTCTTCTCTCCTCCTCCCCCTGCCCCTCTCCCCCCTCCTTTCCTCCCCCTCTCTTTCCTGCCTCACCCCCTTCCCCTCCCTCTCCTTGTTGCCTCCTCACCCCCCCTTCTCCCCTGTCCCCTTGGAGGGAGAGAGCACCTGTCATCATCCCAGCCCCAGTGTCCTTGGGCCGTGGTCTGGCTTGGCACACACCCATGTCGATTTCACGGGGGTTTCTCTTATCCCTCTGGGTGGCAGCAGCAGGCCTGCTGTGGATGAGAAAACCATCCTGCTGAGGCTCTGCAGAGGGTGGAGGCAGAGAGCGTTAGCCTCAGAGGGCCAGGGCTGCTGCCTCTGAGCTTTTCGAATTTCCTCGCCCACGGTAGGCACTCGGATGAGGGGAAGCAAGGGCGCTGGAGCCAGAGGACCAGATAAGGGACCAGCCCTTCTTCTCGCTGGGTGTCCGTTTCTTTATCTGTAAAATAGTGCCAGAACCAGAGAGCTGTGTGTGGCGCAAATAAGAGAACGCATGTGGAAGCATCTGGTGCAGCGTCAGGCAAACAGGCAGGGGGAGATTGTAACTCCCAGTGATGACGATGCCAGACTGGCTTTCCAGGTGGAAGTGGGACCCCAGGAAGGTCGGGCTCCAGCTGAAGTGGAAGTTCTTGAAGCAGGCGTCACTCATTTCATTGCAGAGCCTCACACAGCAGAGTTTTCAAGGAAGGGCACTCATTTATGACTGCTGGTGTGAGCCAGCTCTGCTCGAGATGCATAACATTAGCTTGGGTAACCCCTAATCACCGAGGGCCACCCCAGTGTTTCAGAGAAAGGAGGCGGGGCCGCCTGGTGTGAGGCACTAGCACTGGGTGTTCTGGGCAGTGTGCAGAGAAACGGCCTCAGCCTGGGGCTCCCCTCAGCCTTCTGAGAAGTGTTACCCCTCCTTGAGTCCTTGAGGCCACAATGCCAGAGAAGCTTGGGTTTGGGATGCCATTTATTTACTCCACGTTATTTTAGGAATATTGAACTATATCTTATAAACAAAGGGTAGCCAAGGACATTTCAAGGAGCTTTGCTCCTTGCTCCAGCATGTCAGGTGTACTGGGTAAGCCAAATGGATTGTAGTGTGTGTTTTCCCTGGTTCTGAATTGGTTTTAATTCAAGGAGGGTGGGGATAAATTCAAGCAAGAAGGCAAATGAGCGTCAGTGTCTGGGAAATGTACCCGCTGGGTCGTCCTCTTTCCTAGGGTGCATCACGGAGTTCTTTGTGGGAGATCCTGTCTCGGAGAAGGTAGGAAGTCAGGCAATATGGTCAGACTCTGGGCTGCCCCCCACGTGCTTGCAGCCAGGCCAGGGAATAAAGTGGGATGGAGGGCTTTTTGGAGTTGTGTTATTATAGTCAGTCACCGCTATGTGTTGGCTTTAAATTCCCCAGTCATCTTGTTGACCTTTGCAACTGTTCAGCCCTGCTCAATGTAGCTTGGAATTAGAAGGCAGGAAGAAGGGCCATGAGGCCTGCGGCGTCCCATGGGCTGCCGAGGTTCCTGGGTTTATGGCCTCAGAGAAACAGTAGCAGCAGACGGGCTCCCACAGGCCCTGTTGGGGGCGGGAGGGAGGGCGAGGGTGCCGGTCAGGACGCGAGGGGGCTTGGCTCGATGCACTGGCCTCCCCAGGCACTGGAGCGACTTGGCCTTGTCCTCTGCATTCTTGCCTTCAGTACGTCTTCCTTCTGGCGGTGATAGAAGTGGTTGCCTTTTCAACTGCCCCCTGCTTTTTACATTAGGAGTCAAACGCAAGGAACATGAGAAAATTCAGACACATTTCCAGTAAGCGTTTCGTATGTATCAACTTTTGGTACATGACATTTCTCGAGAGACTCAGAGAGTAAAAAGAAATGAGCCTGCACTGTGGGAGATAGTAGGAGAAAAGAAAAAGGGTAAGATGTGAAAATAAGTAACTTTATAGGCGACAGTATGGTTGTATAAAAGAGTAAACAATGCAAGAACACCTAATAATCACTTTAACTGAGCTGAGGTTTCCAGGCCCATTCATTCATTCAGTAAAGTACTTATTCATCCATTTAGTGAGGACTAATTGCATAGGAGACAGGCCCTGTCCTAGCACTGGGGCTTTAATGTGGAAAAGAACGACAAAGTCCCTGACCTCCTATAACTTCATCTCAGGGAATTAACTAAAAGAAGCAGTCTCAGGATAGTCTGTACATGTGTGACAGGGGAAGTCCAGGTTGCCAGAAAGCCAAATAAGGAGGTTGCCTGTTGAGACGGCGGAAGATTTGGGAAGGGGAGTAAAACTTTGGAGAAGTGGGATTGAAATGATGTAGGTGCACAGATTTGGGAGAGTCAGGGGTCCT